GGAGTCCTAAAATGGCCAGCCAATGTCTGACCTGTCTCCATGCTACATGGGCATAAATGGCTTCTGTATGTGCTACCTGCCCTCCAGGCAATGGGCACCTTCCTGTGAATGAGAAAAAGCCCACCTTCGAGCAAGCTGCTTTACAGTCATCTGCAGGAAAATCATTCAAACCTAAATAGGATGTGGATATGCGCAGCAGGCCTGATGCGTAGTATGCGAACTGCACTCTGGGTGCGACCTCCCTCTCTGATAATCCTCAAGGGGAACCTCAGCTTCTGCTGGAGGCACCACCTCGTACACCAGAATGATTTTGTTTCTCACACAAAGGGTATTCTCCCTCCGTTTTTCAAATGCTACACATTCGGTGCAATAGAATCAAAAGAGGCTGAGTCCTGCTGGAACAAAGGGAAGGAGGAAGCATGGCAGGTTCCTCTCTGATCCGTCTGCTCCCCCCAGTGCTAAGGGACTAAGAATCTGTCAGGGGAATGAAAAATTACACGGAAGCAACTGCAACTCTTTCATCACAGATGTGAAATAAATTGTGTGAGCCGTTGATGGCTAGGGGCTAATTGCCTCACTCACACTGGCTCTGAAAGGAAATATACAATCCCAACAGGGCTGTACTGTGACTGTTTAAGTAGTCATCTCATCTTTTACAAAAGCTCAACCCAAGGCTATGTTTATTTATTTTTTTTTTAAAGATTTATTTATTAATGCATCTGGAACTGGGGTACAGGCCAGAGGTGCAGGGGTGGTGAGAGGCTTCACCAGAGACAGAGTGGGGAGCAGAATAGGCCGACAGACTAAGTTCACTGCTGAGGGGAGCAGCGGGTGGTTCAGGAGAGGTCTGCTGCCATGTGGGTCACTCCGGGGTGGGGATCGAACTCATACTGAAGTGGCTTTAACTTCTTAGGGCTGAGCTTTAACCCACTGCACCACCAGGGAGGGCCCAGCTATGTTTATTTTTAAAACTATTGTGAAACAAATATGATCAGAAAAAAAAAAGAAGAAGAAAGGAAAAGAAGGAGGAAAAAAGAGTGAGAGGGAGGAGGAAGAAAAGAAAACACAGAGGAACATAGATGAGCACACAAAAAAAAGACAAAATAAAACCACTTGGTTCATCACCAAAGGATATGGCTAGAATAAAACTCTACCACATATCTTTGAAGTCTTTTTAAATGCAAGATTAACTATCTAGCCAATAAAAATAAGTTACCC